AAAATATAATAAAACCTATAATATAATATAAAATAAAGTAAAAGAGAGTAAAAGGAGCGATAAAGAGATCCATCAAAAAATAAAATTAAAACAAAACAAAACAAAAAAAAAAAAACGAAAAAGCAAACAGAAAATGCAATGAGAGAAAAACGCAACTATTATTATTATTCTAATTGTAACGAATTATGATTACCGATTACAAAGCGTACACTTTGATTGTGATGTATATTCGATGAGAGAGAGTATGAATATGAATATGAATATGAGATGAGGATGAGTATGACTAATGTTGAGTGACGAATAACGAATAACGTGTAATGATGAGTATGTAATTGAGTAATGCATAATGATACGGATATGATAATGAAGTTGATTTATACTATATTGTGTGTATATGTAAACTCGGAAACAATTTTCTCCATTCATTCAAGGTTTAATTTCGCCTCACCTATCGAATCCCCACTCTCCTTCTTTAGTGGAAGAGTGCGGACATGGTATTCCACCTATTATTTGAATCCACTATATTGGATGTTTTCGTCTGATCAGCCAGAGTGATTCCAAGTGGCTTCATGCTGAGGTCTACTTTCTACCCATCGTTAAAGCGTTTACCATGTGCAAATGTCTATCAGAAGAGCAGCTCTTTTCCTCATTGCAATACAAAATATCATATCCCCAATGCTACCACCGCTATCACAGCCCTTTACACCCACCAACATCCTACTTTCGGATCCCTAGGAAGAAACCAGAACCTTGTCACACTTTCTTTGTTTTTTGTTTTCTCTTTTTTTTTTTTTAAATAATTTAAACAGAGCAACTTTAATTTTTTCGTTTAAGCGCAAATGTAATTAATTTGTTGTACAAAACTCTTTAAACAAAAACAAAAAAAAAAACAAAAACTATCATAAAATAAAAGCAAAACGTAGCAATTTGTGTATAGTAAGCAGATAAAAACCACAAACAAAAAATACCAACGCATCAATTCATTCATTTTGTGGCATTCCAAGGGAATGAGAAGTGGGATTGTGGTGAAGGATGGATGGATGGATGGATGGCTACAGTAGATCCTCCCATTAGTCGCTCTTTACAATAGAAATAGCAACTGCGAAACAAGATCGAACGAATAAAGTGACAGTAAAGTAAACGTGATAAACAACTTATCTAAACTAAAGTAAACTTTAAAGTAATTGAGACATTTTTTTATGCTAAAATGCGAATCGTAAGAACACATTAGAACTCCTGGGATCCTGGGAGTGTGTCAAATTCAGGTATTCAGGAATCAACATTGTAGAGAAAAGAACAAGAACCAGAATAACAACAGCAACAAATACAAATAATAATGATGTAAAAGTGTAAAATGCAAATGCAAAAATGCTTTCCATTCAATATCGTACTTCCGATTGCATTAACCGAAAATGTATATAGAAAAAAAAACTCCTCTAGCCTTAGTCGTCGCATCAATTCCATTTTGTTTCGACTGCACAAGAATGCTTTAAATCCGTGTATGTGCCGTGTGAGTGTATAATATTAGCTAAAGAATAGGGATTCCGGGAAGAGCATCTATATGTTTGCTATACCAATATTTGTTTCACTTTGTCGCTCGCTCGCACGCTCTCCTTTCGAGTGTTGAATCACAATTGAGAGTGTTGCGAGGGCAGGCATCCATCTTTACCAACACTGCTAATCATTTGAATACTCTGCTGAAAATTGAATGGGGGTAGGGGGAGCGGAAACAGCGGGTAGATCTGTTTGGTAATACAAAATCAAAACTTATGATCTAAAATATATATAGTATACATGTATCTAGCAAAGCAAACAAAAAAAAAAAGAAAACGGACACCAAGAGAATCAGATACAACTTTTATGCATGCGCCAATCTAAATGTGTAGGAAGTCGAGTGAGTGAGTGGAGCTCATCCGTAAATCTAATTGAAATCAACCATAAATTAAAGTAACTTCGAATGGGCAATACAAGTGAAAGCAACACACGACATTTTTAAAGAGCAAAATTGTAATTGTATTTAACAATATTAGATAATAAATTAATATGTTCTAAAATGATGCGACGGCCTACTATTCCTATTTCTTCTCCTGCTCATCCAGGAACTGTTGCAGCAGGGCTCCATCAATGGGTATGTTTAGCTGCTCGGAGCCATCGACGCTGCGCTTCGACTTGACCAGCTTGTGGTCCAGGAACTCTGTGAGCTGGGCGCGCAATGCCAGATCCGAGCTAACCAAAAAGGACTCGCGGCAACTAGAATAGAGATCCTTGAAGGGCATACCCTGATACTGGGCATTGCCTTTGTTCTTCAGCTGGTACTTGACAATCAGCATGTAAATGCCGCGCGAGTTGGTCGTCAGCGAGCAGAAGACACTGCGCATCGAGGACAGAGCCAGCTCGCCAGAGTTCTGCACCAGCAGCGAGTTCTCGAAGGCTGTCTCGTCTGTGTAGGGCAACATGGTGGTGCAGTCCCACCAGGAGAAATTAAAGTTGCTCAGCTTTCCCTGGTCCCATACTGCAGGAGCAACAGGTGGAACGTTAGAAGACAGCCCTTAGGGAGCAATGAGTGCGCGAGTACTTACGCAGTGGTGTATTGATGTGATCGATGGAAGCCAGCAGATGGATGTTGGACACACGAGCGAGGCGGGACAGTATGGCCTGGGCCTTCACGTTCCGCAACATAGCACCGTCCAGGTTGTGCACGATCAGAAAGAGATGCGTCTCTGGTATCAGGGCGAACTCCTCCTCGATCATGTCCACAGCTTCGTGTGGATTTGTCGGACTGATGCCGGCGTCCAAGATTTCACTGGTGATGCTGTCTAACATGTCCTTGATCGTGAGACTGGGAAAGAAACCGTTCACCACCAGAACTGTCTGGTGGGAAAGGACCTCGTGGTGGAAGGACTGCAGCAGCTGGCGCTTGGAGCCCAGCCCGTACAGCAGAAGGTTGAATCCCTCGTTTAGGATGCACATCCATTTGGGAAAGTACGAGCGATACTCCTCCATGATGGCATTGATGGCGGTCTCGTGCTCCGCAGACACTTTCATTTCGGAGAGCAGGCTGAACAGACGATCGGCGGCCAGGCGAGGATTCTTCAGCCGATCCAGAGTGTGGTCCGAGGTGAGAATCTTGCTGCTGGCATGCGAATGGAAGTAGCCTTCGCTCTCTGGCACAAACTCATTCGATTTTTTGGCCCGTGCCGACTGGCGGAGGCGAGCCGCTGAAGGAGTCTTGGGCAGGACGGGCACCACGATTGCACGGCGCGTCTTGCACGGTGTCTTGGGCTCATCGTCGGCGGCATCGTTGTCCGAGGAGTTGCCGTCGCTGCTACTGCTGCTACTGCTGCTAGACGACGACTCTGCGCCGCTGGGCCGATAGTCGCTTTCATCCCCAGAGAAATCCTCTTCGGAGTCGGCCACAATCTTGGCAATCTCTGAAAGAGAATCACTTTTAGTGATACATCATATAAGATCAACCGAGTACTCACGATTCTTGACACGGCTGCGCACACGGGACGGCGTCTTTGGCTGCTCTGTGGGCTTCTTTCGCTTGGTGTCGGGCGTCTTGACGCCCAAGCGAGGCGTCTTTGGCGTCTTGGGTGTACGCGGCGTGGCACTGAGAGCTGCCAGAGCCATGGCATCTCGCTTCTTGGGCGTGTTGAACCCGAACAGGCTGGCGCCGGCCACATTATGCTCCAACTGGATTAGGTTCAGGTCTGGCCTGGCCTCGATTTCCGCCTCCTTCTCGCCAACCTCCGCCAGCTCTTCTCCGTTGCTCTCCTCCTCGCTACACTCCACATAGTTCACAACAATGTGCTCGTGCTCCTCGCGGTCCTGGCGCTGGCCAGACTTGCTCTTCTTCTGATATACCTGATACTTTTTGGTGGGACTGGGCTTGCGTGTGGAGCGTCGAGCGACTGGATGTGGCTCCTCCTCTTCGGATCCCGCTGCATCTTCCTGCACGACCAACGCCGTGTCCAGGTCAGCCACAGAACCGTCATCCTCGGAGTTGGTTAAATTCTCAATGGATTTCAGGTTTCTTGATTTCTTTTGCTTCTTTGGTGTTCTGTACTCGCCATGATTAGTGGCGCTCATTGTAAAACTCTAGAAAACTGCTACAATATCAAAACGAAATTGTTATTTTTTGATCAAAATAAAAACAGCGCAGAAGAAGCGGGAAACGATCGATGACACTAATCGATACTATCGATGAATGCGACATTTAAAATACTTTTTCTTGGTATTTTTATAGCGCACAAAAAAATACCGAAGTCTTACAGCTCACCAATAATTGGTATCGGGACAGGGATAAATTTATTTACAGATAAAAAATCAAATGCATAATTAGGTATAAAGCATGTGATTCTAAGACAAATTCATTATTACTGGTTTATAGCAGCTTGGAACAAAACATTTATCATCAATAAAAGAAATAAGGTACGCATGCAGAAACTTGGTTGAACAGCAACAATGACGGAATGTGACCAGAGTTCACACTTACGTTTATGCTTTTGGCCGTTTTTGGTTGAACCCTATTATATTAACCATCCAATATATAGCAGTTCTGAAAACAACCCAATCTTGTACTAAAATTTATTGAGGAATTGGTTAAAATTATTTGTTAAGGGCTGAAAGGGCCAACTAGCTAGTAATATTAAACTGAATATTAAAATCATGGAATACGATCAATAAAATAGAACGCTAGCCCATTGTCGACCAGGGGGGTATTTAATATTTCCACGAAATTTATTTAACTTTAACTTATTTTACGCATTACACGTGAAATATGTCGGTGGTCATTTTTGTTATATAAGTAAAGAGGAGGATGGAGCTACAAGGTCCCTTTACAAACAGCATTATTTTCTGCGGTTTAGCAAAGGGTGCTCATCTTTTTAAATGGAGGGGTGTTAAGTGGGTTAAGTATCGTTTGATCGCCGGAGGGTATTTTTCGTTATCGACGCGGTCACGCTGTCGACGCGGCTGCTTTGAACCTAAAATACTAAGTTTAGAGTAAAGTGAATATTGCAAACTTGCAGAAAACGTAATTTTCCATTAAAGAACTATCAAGTGCGTTCGTTTTGTGACAATTTTCGTCATTCATGCGACGCGAAGCATTTGAAACTAAGAAAACATTGATATCTGGATAGCGGCATCGCTTTAAACATAAATATATATCGCACACATCTGTAGTTGAACAATTTACTATACTATAACTACGAAAACTCGGAACGCGCTGCCTTCACATTTTCTGTGTGTAAGTATTTGCCGTCGGCGCCACGCATTAACCGTTAGGTCGGCCATTTTGATTTTGCATTCTCTTTCGTCTTCTTCCATTCATGTGTACACACACACGTACTTTTTTTTGCGTGATCGTAGCGTGGAAGAATTCGTTCTCGAAATTGCCATTGATTGATTTGTAAAATGAGTGCCGTGGCTGCTAATATGTTTTGTGCAGTATGCGGTGATGCCGCTGCAATGATGTGCGAGCGTTGCCTGGAGCCGTATTGCAAAAAAGATTGTCAAAGCGCAGATTGGCGACGCCACAAATATTACTGCAGCCCCATGCCGTAAGTAGCCGCTGCTGAAATTTTTGTCTTCCATGCGTACATGTGTGTGATATTTTTAGTGTGCTGGTGCCCAAAAAAAATGCGCCGAGCTCTGAGCCGCCAAAGCTTGCAAATATTCCGAAACCAAAACCAAATCCGAATCCAATCAATACCGAATTGGTGTCCTGCTCCAAGCCAGTGGTATCTCCGTCCAATGCAGTCAAGACCGTTGCATCCGAGAACCATGTGACTACCGCCATAGTGAAAGACGAGAAGAAGCCACTGTCCTCTGTCTGGCGTGAAACGTTCTTGCCGCCGCTGAAAGACTTTTTCGAGTGCCGTGTGACGTACATGGAATCTGATGGCGTCATCTGGGTAGTGGATGCGGCCAATATTGAGGTAATGGAGCAATTCAACGAGAACATGCAGCGCGTCAAGCCAAAGCTTACCCTGGCCAAATCTGTTGTTGAGGACTCGCTGGTTGTGGTTCAAGGCGACAAAAACATGCATCGCGGACATGTGCTCTCTGTGGATACGCAGTCTGAGACTGCTATGATCCGTCTGATCGATCATGGATCGGTAGTCACTTTTTCTTTGCTGGAAATCTACGATCCGCTGTCGCGCATGGCAGATATCAAAACGTTTGCGATTCAAGTGAAGCTGCTGTCGAATACGGGCGTGCAGAGTAACAAGCATCTGACGCTGCGCATACTGGGCCCCAAGACCCAGGAGGGCGTCTACCCGGTACAGCTGAAGCCCAAGATGACCATTCCGCTCAATTTGCCGATTAAGATGCTGCAGGTGAACCCGGAGGTGAGTCTGGTCCGGATCCTGGAAGGTTGTCTGAAGCGCGAAGAGAAGCCCATTGCCCTGCTTCAAATAGCAACAATAAAGCAGATCAACGCCGCCATGTGTGACAAACTGGAGGGAAAACAGCAACAGCCGATCTCTGGCCCTCTTCCATTAGATACGTGCCCAACCATATTTTTGGCCACTCGCACCAACCAGGGCTACCGACGCGCCTTTTTGCTGGACGTAATTGAAGGGCCGCCTGCGCGTACTTTCCTGGTGTATGAGATGGACGAGGGTCGCATCTCCATCACCACTGACGTGTGCCGCATTCCCAGCGAGCTGCTCGGTCATCCCATTCAGACATTTGCCATGAATCTGAGCGACGAAGAGCAACAGCCACCGCTGGAGCAACTGGTGGACAGCATTGGGCCCGATTTTACTCTCAAATTGCGTCTGGAGAGCATTCAAGGGCAGGAAAAGGTGCGCAAGGCCAGTGCCGCCTTGCTGTCCAAAGGGAAGCAGATAGGCGAAGTGGAGCTGAAAACGTTCCTGGGTGAGGTGTCCACAATGGGTCACAAGTACTGGCGTGAGGCGATCAAGAACGGCACCATGGTTCGCATAACTCACATTGTCGACTACAAGGAAGTCTTTATCAGCTCCAGCGTCACCTTGCAATATGCAAACCTTTTCAAGCGCATGGAAAAGAAGTGCAAACCCTTCGAGCCCTCGGTCCAGATTCCGATTGGCTGCATTGTGCTGGTGGTGAGTCCCAAACTGGGACACTTCCGTGGCGAGGTAAACATATTTACGTGACTCCAACATGTACAAATAAAAAACATATCCCCCCGCATCTTTTCAGATCTCTGGTGTTGCAAACGACTTATTCAGTGTCTACAATATTGACACTGGCGCAACACATCAGGTGGATGGCCAGTTCCTGCGCATGGCCTGTCGTTTCCTCAACAACATGCCCGTGAGTCTGTGGCGCGTCAAACTAAAGTCGGTTTGCGACATTCCTGCATGTGCAGTGACCCCAAACAATGCCGGGTGTCAACTGATGCAGGAGCTCTTGGCCGAAAATGTCGAATTTCGCGTCGAGATCGTTGGGTCCAACAATCAATTGGTGGACTTGCATTCGGGCTCGGGCGAGGGGACATCGCTTGCGCTTCGAATTCTGCCGCTAATGTTTACGCCCGTTTCGAATAAATCGCAAGAAGTAGCTGCTACAGATCCAGCTCCTGCGCCTGCTCCTGCTCCGGCGGCAGTTCCAGCTCCGGCAGCAGTTCCTGCTCCGGCAGAACTGAAAAGCTCTCTAAAAGAACTCAACGTCAAGACGTCTACAACTGCGTCAGAGATGTCCAAAGATCTTCCACCTTTGCCGCTATCGCCCCCAGCTTCCCCCGCTATCGAGACTAAAGAGACACCAAAATTCCAACGTTTCTATTACAAGGATTTGCCTAAGGTTCTTATTCCACTGAGCGCACGTGTTGAGGTTTTCCTTCTGAATGCAACAGGATTATCGGACACTGGCGCCATCACCGCCTGTCATTTTAAAGACGAAGAAGATGCTGCAAACTATCAGAATTTGTTTAAATTAATTGATGACGAAGGAAAGTTGTCGCACCCGAACATAGACTTTGTGCCAAGGTAAGTCCTATGCCAGCCCATAAAGCCAACAAGTAATCCAATTTCTCTATCCAATATTATCGGCACAGTGTTGGAGAAATGTGCCTGGCCCTGTTCAGCGAGGACAATAACTGGTATCGTGGCGTATGCGAGGAGATACTCGGCAACAAGGCTCGCATTTTCTACTGCGACTTTGGAAATCGTGAGGTCGTTTCCGTCAAGAAACTCAAGCCCATTAGCGCCAGTCTTTTTCAGGTCATCAATGCCACCAAATGTTACATCGAGGGTATGTGCTGTCTCATAAAAAACTAACTCTTTAATAGTTATTAATCACCTGTTGCTTTCAGGTTTCGACAAGTCGGAGAAGTTCAGTCAATGGCAGGAACATATTAAGACGGAAGTGCTCATTCCGTGCACCGTCAAGGAGGGCCCCGACTCCGATTCGCGTACCCTTGTCATACTCGATCTGGACAAGATCGTGCCCCAACAAGCTTCCTAACTCATTTTCGAGTTTTACCTTAAGACAACAAGGATCGCGTTCCTTCATTATAATCGCTAGTTATAAGTATTAATACCACCGTACACCATCAGTGTACGCATCGAGACTTTTGAAAATGTTTTTGAAAATATTCGTTTCTTTTCGCGATTTAGTTTTTGTTTTTTTTTCGACTTGGCAGGTCCTGTATAGATGATCCTTTAATACATACATATATCATTACATATTCGGATACAATACAATATATATTCACTGTTAACGTTCCACAACATTTATCTTTCAACTAAATTCAATTACAACACTTATAATGAGATTACAACAACACCAACACTAGCAACATTGTTCGGCCAGCTTGGCGAGGAGCAGCTCCATCGCCTCAACGTTGCGTACGGCGATTATGCCAGTAGCATTTCGCTTCCAATCCGATTCAGAGTTCTGCATAAGGTACTTTAGGGCCACTCCCTTCTGCTCCACCACGCTCGCACCATAGTCGAAGACATCACCGCCCAGAGCGCGTAGAATAGCCTGCGGGGCACAGGTGTCCCACTTGAACGTAGATCCTTTGCTGAGGAGATACACTTCCACCTCACGGGTGATGACTTTCAGGGCCTTGTGGCCAGCGCCAGCTGAGAATGCAAATTCGTAGCCCAGGTCGAGTAATCGCTGAAGTATATCCGACTGCTCAGAGCTGGAAAAGATGGCAAGCTGCCGGTGCTCGTCCCGCGCCTCAAAGTCACAGTTGTGGGCCTGCAGGCTGGGCAAGCAGATGCCCCAAAACATCGAGGAGCTGTACACGTGCTCGTCCAGCTTATTGCCAAAGGGCTGGGCAACGACTCCAATCACGGGAACGCCCGTGTCACGTTCATAGACGCCTATCAGAACGGTTACACAGTCCAGGCCGGTGGAGGTGATGCCGGGAAAGTCGGTGAACATCGTATCGCCCGAGATGTACTCTGCGGTGGCGTCTGCAAAGGACAAAACAAAGCATTAACAATTGCCAAGGACAGGCATGTCCACCCACGTACCAATTGGATCAATCCATATGCCCAGATTGGCATAGTCCAGATCCTCGGGCAGCTCTGGAATCTCCTTCAGCTTGCTGCTCTCAAAGTTGACTACGCGATGCACTTCGTCGGCCAGTGCGCTGGCTGCACCCTCATGGCCACTGAGTACCGCCTCCAAGCAGGCGGCGGTGTCCGTTGCAGAGGCCCCCACAGCAACGGTGACACTCTCTCCCAGCTTATTGGTAAAGTTTGGCGATTCCTCGCCAAGAGTGGCGTCCTGCATCTCTGGAAAGACCGCGCCCACCTCGTGTTTGATGGTTTCCTGGATTAGCACATCGGCCAGCGTTTTAAAATCGTGTTCGAACCGCTCGTTAGCCTCTCCTTCCGCCTTTTCCTGGACAAGCAGCGACAGCAGCTTTTCATTGGCTCGGCATGTCCTGGCTATATTGGCCGCCTTTTCCGCACAGTTAATCAGCACCCGCAAGAGGTTTGCTTTGTCCTCTTCCGAGCCCATTTTCAGCAGATTTTTTATATTTTTACATATTTTTGTATGGCTTTTTAGAGGGCACAGTCGATAGTTTGATGTTTTCCTGCTATCCTAAAAGGATAAATCGATAGCATCGATTGTTTTTTTCAAAACATTCAACGTTGATATTCCTCGATTTTGATATTCCGTTTAATATTACTAGCTAGCTGCGACTCTTAGCCCTAAACAAATAATTTTGTCCGATAGATACATACATTTTCTACAAGATTGAACAGTTTTCAGAAGTCCTTTTTATTGGATTATTTACATATTAAGGTTGAAACAAAAACAACATAAAACGAATGTGACGTCGTTTTGTGGCGTTGCCAGACTAGTGCAATTCGTAGTTGCTGCGGGCTGCCATACCATGATATTTTGTGACATGATATTCCTCGATTTTGATATTCCGTTTAATATTACTAGCTAGTTGGCCCTCTCAGCCATAAACCAATAATTTTATCCGATTCCTCAATGAATTTTGTTAAGGATTGGCTTGTTTTCAGAAGCTTCTTACATAATAAGGTTCAAACAAAAACAACATAAAACGGCAAACTCTAAACGTAAATGTTTGACTAATAGGCCGTTTACATTGTGGGCCCTCTCAGCGTCATTTCTTCTTCGTACATCTCTTGCAGGTAGACGCTTTTTTTTTTTACATATGGTTAAGCATAGGGCCCTAGTGGTGGCTGCAAAAGTTGCGTCAGTTTCTGCTTCATGTGCGCTCTATTCGATATATTCGATTGCTTTTGCTCATAATTTTGTTAAGGATTTTCTTCAGAACTATCAGCGCAATTATCACCACTAATAACAAAAAAAAATTGTAGATCAAAAATCAAATTTTGGCGCTAAAAATGTATGATTGTGCAAAAAGGTGAAAATATCATAAATTTATTAAATTAAAATACTTGAAACTGATTCTATTATTATCATATGAAATTTTTCTTACCCCCTGATGCCATTAAGACACTGCTGGAGACGAACTTCGGTGGTTTTTCATAATTTTGAAGAAGAACTCCCACAAACTCTACAATGAAATGTCTGTAAAATAATATTCTAAATATTTAGAATCCCAATTTTTTTTGTCCATTTTCTGATCTTCGTCTTTACTTAAGGTTCTGTTGACGTGTTTTGTTTCGAAAATTTGTGTATCTTCCGTCCTCTTGAACTCATCAAACACCCAAATCCAAATTCAAGAAGCACGTCTTTCCAATGTAAACGCCTTTTTCTGCTTCATTGCGGTCTATGCCGATTAATCAGGATAGCAACCGTACGCACCCAGTGTTAAAAAGTTATAGCTTTATTAGTAATTGAGCCAATACTTCAGTGTTGAGAAGCGTAAAATAGTCGGAATCAGCAGTACGAGAGATCAGGGTCACACTTAGGGATGAGAAACACTTTTGATGGACAAGATATCGATAGCAAATATTTGGCGGTCATTTTTGAATCAATTTTAATGCCTGTACTTTAATTTGTTAGAAAAGAAGGGAGGCCCTCTCGCTCAGATGATTCAATTTTTTTGTTATATCACGTTGGATACTTTAATAACTCATTAACCTAATGTTTAAAATTGATTGAAGAGCTCCGCTTATCAGCATGCCCCTGAAGCTGGAAGGGAAGCAGCTTTCACATCTTCATTGAAACAATTTTAATTGTCAATTAAAAATTACGCACTCACCGCCCCTTCGGCCCCGCTCAGCAACTAGCCCAGCCCAGCCATGAATCATGCCCCGCCAAGGAGCAGCTTAGTCCCCGTCCACCCAACAGGAGTTGAGGGCTTTGTTACAGCTGCGGCTGCTGCATAATTTGCACCCGATCTTATCAACGAGCACTGCTAATGATTCGCATTAATGATGCTGCATACATGGGCCCGCTCCCATACACTGCTCTCCATTCCCCCCATAACGATCTCTGGTTCTGGGTTTTGGGCTTACGCACTTTGGCATCTTATGAAATGAGACCATCAATCAGTAACCACTGCCCCTCCACTCTCTCCACTCCACTCCACTCCACTCCAATCCACTCCACTGATGCATTTGCATATAAATTGCTGCTAATGTCGCGCTATCAAAGTGACTGCATCAATGCGGCATTCCTGCCATGCCTGGCCCTCTGCCTGTGCCTGGGCCTGGGACAGTCCTGGCGTGGCCCTTAGGGCCTGTACAGCTTGGCTTATGCTAATTTTTTCCCATGCCTTGCAGGCCTCGCAGGCCTCTCTCAGCCCTGGCCATTGATGTTTGGATAACGTTGACTTGATGACTTTGCATAATTTACGCCGCCGCCACAGAGCGGATAGAGAGAGAGGTCGCTGTTGCTGCTGGTGCTGCTGCTGCTGCAGCCACATTTTGGCTGCTTTGGGTTAATTTTTCACTCAACCACGTTTGCCTTTTTAATGTGTTAATATTCATGGGGAAAGAGGCACCACAACACAATGTTTTTTAGCTGGTTTTCCTTCTCCTCAGCCTCGTTGTGACTTTTGACGTTTCAATTTGGCCGTTGCGTGATCTTTAGCCAAACGATTTTTCAAACCGGCGGGCATTTATCAACAGCTCAACCAAAGGCATTTGTCATCATCCCCACATACATACATATACTATGTGGCATATACATATGTAGTATATATCCCCCGGGCCAGATCATCCCCGGCTCAGGCTTAGTGGTATGTAAATTTGATTGGTGCGTATTTTGCATTTTGCATTTTGCTCAGAGCGAAAGCAAATATTTTCTTGGTCTTTTGGTCTCCTTTGTTAGCCATTAGTAAAACTCTCTTAATTGCTGTTGTGTGTGCTGCCCCCTCCACCCGCCACACTCCACACTTAACAGCCTTTTAATTAATCGCTCGAATTGAACAAATTCTTAATGAGTCTTTAATTAATAGCCAAAACGAAATGTGTGTCGTGCCGTGCCACTCTCGCGGCTCTCTCTAAATACGAAATATTTAAATTTTATTGTGACTTGATTGTCTCTTGTCTCTGTCTCTTGTACATTATTCGCCCTCTCTGTCTGTCGCTGTGGCTCCACCCCTGAGGTGTCTGAAACGAGTTTTGACGCTTCCAAAAAACTGTTGGCTTGATTATTTGTTTGTTTTATATTACTATAAAATGCCACAACAAGCCCCACAACACACAGTCAGTGGATGAGAATGGGTTTTCTTACTCAAGTGATGCTTCAGAGCTTCATTAGAGATCGTCTAACGGTTGGTTTCTTTTGGCTAGATACGAGTATACCTCCTTGGGGGGCGTTTCTATGCTTTGTTCGATCAATTTTCCAATTTATTAAGCTGTCGTTATGGTGAATGATGAACGAACATCATCAGTGGTGCAGTCAAGCAAGCCAAGTGCAGTGGGGCGTATACTTATTGTGCGCCACTTGTCCAGCGCCCACTCATCCGCCAGCTCTGTGTTCTATTGCACTCACTCCCCGCCCTTCTGGACACCTCAGCCATCTTCGATTTGCCCGCAGCACAAACTGGATTGGGTCCGAATCGGAATCGGAATGGCACTCGGCGCGGATTGTCGTTGCGTTAATTTATGCGCTTCAAGGTGTTTGGTTTGGTTTGCCTTCTTACGCTTATTGGCAGGCAGCTCGTTGGCTTCCCTGAGAAATGGGCTGGTGGGGAAATTTTCGTTCATATTTGCATTGCTAGTTAATTGTTTGCATTTCGGCGAGCAAGCGAAGGGAGTGGCTGCTCCAATGGCCAATTATGGCAGCACCCCCAGGCACAAGGCTGATCAATGGCAGAGTTCTTGGTCTGGCATTAATCAAGGGGGGAGAGAAACAATTCAATGCCTAACAGCAAAGCATTTTCCAGCAATTTCTAATTTAGCGAGAGAGCTTCCAATATCTGTCCTCAACTGAGTTCAAGTGATCTGTCACGTTGCTCTGCGGGCTCCACAGAAGCCCATCCTCTCACTCATCCATTTCAATGCAAATCCAAGGAGGGGAGCAAATGGCAATCCTGCTCGGCGTAACCTATCCCTCCATTGGATGCCGCCGCATGTGTCCCATTGTGATCGTGTTCGCCACAGCGCTTAACATTTGACCATCGATCGGAGCGGAAGCGTGAAATACAACATGCGGCAATGCGGCAGTCGGCTATAATGCAGATACCGATACAAATACAAATACAAATCTGTTTTTGCCATTGCCGTGGCCTGTTGGTTATAAATTTTATGCATTTTTGCGCATAGTTTGCCATTTTGCCACTTTAACATTATTGTTATGATGATAAGCGAGCCACAGAGCCACAGTCGGAGGCAGAGCCGCAGAGAGCGATCGTTCCAGGGTCTCCAGGCCATGCTGGATGCCAGATTCATCCAGGAGTTGCCCACACTCTCAGGCCCAGCTTCATGCCATGTCCGACTGTCGGTCGAAGCATACGCGCATCCTGCCTTCGCCTTCGTCTTTGTCCGTTTGCTGTTTGCTGATCTTCAATGCGATCTGCAGCTTGTTTGGCTTTCCTCTGTATTTAAAATCATTTCATTTTCTGGGGGCCAAAGTGTGAATATAATTTAATGTGCCTGCGCCGTGTCCGTGTCCGACTGTCCCTGTCCCTCCGTTCGGTCTGCCCATCTGTGTGTGTGTGCGCAATTTTCAATATCTTCTGTTGTCCCTGCTGCAGAAAGATTATTTATTATGCTTGATTGGTTTTCAAGTGATCATAAAGTAAGTGATCGTCGTGTTGGCCCCGGACTCTTGGCCAATTGTGGCGCTGTCCGTTGGCATTGAGTTGGCCAGGCACTGGCGTTAATATGTAGATTTGGAGGCGTAGATTTATGTCCAATGGGGTGGAGTAGGAGTAGGAGTTGGAGTTGGAGTTGCCATATGAATATGAGTAGGAGGCTGATCATTGCCTGACCCTGCCGGCAGAGATAGCTTCATCTGGCCATGGCCATATCCTGCTCGAACTCCCACAAATGGCCTCCAACATTTTAACATTTAATTGACATTGATGATTGTCCCACTGGACAAGTCTGAGAACGCGCGTCTGGTATCCCATCCAGCGACTGGTAAACCTCTCTGGCATACCAAATGGCATACCCGGGCCGCGGAATTATTAATTTTCATATCGGGGAGTCGGGGCGTAGAGGAGCCATGGGGCTGTCAGCTGTGCTCGCCATCAAGCTGGACATGAAGAAGACATACAAAATAAATTTTCTGGCATTTGCAGACAGCCGGCAGACAATGCGAATCGAATGGGTGTGTGTCTTGTACGATCCCACTCGATGGGATGGATCCTATTTCTTGGATGCCTCATTTCAGGTTGCGTTTCTAGGGCCCATCCATTCCGAGTTTGTCTATTGGGGGCTAGACAAATGTTAAATGCCTGAAATCAACGCCGCCGAGTCATTGGGTGCTGTGCTCTGCCTCCCTGCCATTAATCCATCCATCCGAGAGCTTTCTGTCTGGGGTCTGTGGCTGTGCTGTGGCTTTCTTCGAGCTGTTGTCGGGTGTGTGTGTGTTTTGTTTTCGCTTCTTTAAATGAACGTTATTAAAGAGATGTTTATCGCTGAGTGATTTATTCATTAAAAAAACATTTATTAGCCAGAAACAAGCTGACTGCCCATGGTCTCATGGTTCATGCGTGTGTGTGCGTGCCAGCAACTCACATCGCACTCACATTCACATTTACCTTCACATTCGTCCATTTGGCTGGCTGGCTGTCTTGGCCTGGCTGGCTGGCCCGCTTTTGGACGCCTCGTCTGTGCCTCATTTGTGCGGCATTAAAATGCAAAAGCGTGTTTGTTCCTGGAAAACTGCAAAGCCCCCCACCACTCACCACACACCACACACCCAACTCCCTTCTTATCAGAATTGCGGGTGTGGACTCTGCCAGGTGAGGCGTGTGCGGCTTTGTTTTATGAACTTGCATATTTTCACTCTTTCCACTGCGTGTGTGTGTGTTTGGGTGTGGGCGTGCGTTTTAATCACTTAATTAGAGAGTCTCTTAATTGACTTGGACTTGGACTTGTGGCCAATTATGCACACAATTGAGGTGCAGTGCGGGTTTGTGTTTGTGCAGGAAATGTGCCCCGAATGCGACGAGTTCGTGCCTTGAGTCTTTTGTTCAGCGGTGCCTGCAGACCCATTCAGCAGAAGGTGAACTAAAGGACACCTCCAATCTGAGCAAGCTTCTATTTCGCCCAGTGCAAAGACATCTGCAACAAGCTTGCCATTATATATCTGGGTTATCATTGCCATTGCCCTCCCAAGCGCCCGCTCGACCTGTTCTGCTGTGCACTTGAAGCCAGCTAAGCCAACCCATTCATTAGCCCCATTTGGCCTTCCTCCGCAAAAAACCTGTTGATGAGCTCCACTCGATTTGATGGTCGATTTTCTCCAATTTGATTATATGTCCACAGTTGCCATTTAGAGCCCAGACACACCCACACCCCCTGACTTTATTCCCATGTTGAGTTTCCTTCCACTGCCAAAGTGCAATGGGAAATTGTCTCGTTCTGTGCAGACATTTCAATTAACATTTTGGCTAAGCATAACGTAAATATTGGTTTGCCTCTGCCCAGGCTCTGATGCTGTCCAGTCAATGAAGCCAATAAAATGGCACAAGACAAGTCGGGACTGAACTGAACTGGAGTTCGTACTCGTAACATAAATACTTGTTAGTCGCCATAGACATTCGAGTCCACAGTGCACAAGCACCAAGCACCATTCCACCACTGTCATGGCCCATCCCCATCCCCATACCCATCCATGGTTATGCATCATCAAACTGAGGCTTGCCTGGGGGGATAGTAGCTTGGTGGTGCCTTCTTCTGCCTGTTGGTGTCATAAGGAAGCGTCTAAATGATTCATAATTTATGCCTGGGCTCTTTTTCCTGTCGCTATTCCCATTCTATCTATCTCTCTCTCTCTTCCATTCCCATTTCCATTCCCATTCCCACTCCCAAACCTATTCACTTGGTCATTCAATCGTTTCGTTACTTAATTTTTCCAACTTAACGCGATGGCTTGTGCCTCTTGGCCAGGCCTCCTTCTGCTGTTCCTCTCTCCTCGTGTAATTGTAATGCATTTTGGGGCTGGTAAAGTGCGTGGCCGTCGTCGTCGTCGTCGTTGTTGTGGCTGTCGTTTGTCTGGGCCGTTGATAGTTGAAAAAATTACTTACAAATTACATGCGTAGCTTATGCCCCCGTGCCGCCTTCAGCTTGTTTGCTTAATGTGCTTTGTGCCTGCCACACTAGACGGGGGGGAAAGGCTGTAGCTGTGGCTGTGGCTGTGGCAGGGGCAGGTTGATAGGTATTAGCGTTCTGTCTCGTGGCTGGCTCGTAAATTGCATTTTCTAATTGAATTCTGAGCACTGCAGCGGCAAGTGACAGTCCAGAGAGAGGTCGCCACTATCACCCAGCTCCATGCACAGCCAATCCTTACCCACCACCATATATCCGTATACAGGTGTGCATGTGGAGGTTGGGGGGTGGGGGGTAAATATCCAACACCTTTGGGCTGCCACACTGGTTCCTAGAACTCGACGCTGCTTAATTTCCCATCATTATGGCATTTATGCCAAGTGCAAAGCTCATTAGCATATAAAATATGGTTGTAATTACGCCTGGTAAATAATGCAATTTTGCACATTTTATAGGCCATGTTGGTGCTAAATTAAAATTATTATAATTGAGTTAAGATGGAAAGGGCCGTAGTTCGTTGCAGTTGGCAGTCGAAGGGCTCCGCTGGCTGGGCCTGGCTTAGTGGAATTTCGCATGGTTTAAAATGCAGCGCGGTACATGGCCATAAAGTGTAGCTGCGTTTAGCTTAAACAAGTCGACAATTTAAAAAGCCAATTTGCGCATAATACGACGAACGTGAGCGAAAATTTAAAACAGAAATTGCACACATTGAAACAGGTAAAAGGGTTGCGTGTTTCGCTCATCTGTGTGTCCGCGCAAATTTCCACGCCCAATGACCATTAATGCAAATGTTGTTTGCTCATTACGGCGGGTATCATTGACCGCCCGCCCACAAGCACTCGGACATGCTACTTCTCGGTACACATATGACCCACTTCGAATTGCCATTCGAATTCAAATTTGAATTCAAATTTCAAATGCATCCTCATCAAATCGATAACAACACTGCTCACATGCAACCTTGCATCGAAGTGGATATCGGGAGGCGTTTGGTTCGTCGCATATTATTGTCGATTCGAATTATTCCTTCATTATTTCATTCACATATATCGTACAAACAATTTGTACTATTTAAGCATCAAAATAAATACTAATTAAACAATTTTTAATTATAAGCTTAACACGTTTTACACTCTGGCGACGCCATTGATATCACCGATCTGGCAGCTCAGTTTTCGCTGATCGGACAACCTTATTTTAAGAATCTTTCGTCCACGACCACGAAACTTGTGTCCAAATAGTGTTTTTTATATCACTTTTGACGAAAGATTAACGCAATGGGAAAGCGCAGGCGATTGAAGAAAACCCCGCTCACCGATGGACAATTTGTGTTCGCTAAAATGCGAGGATTTCGCGCTTGGCCAGGCCGCCTTGTAAATCGTCTTGGCACCGAATACAATGTCTATTTCTATGGCACGTGGGATCATGCCAGGGTGTCGCAGAAGCACATTTTTGACTTTGCAAAACATTCGAAGCGGTACGGAAAAGTAAACGATCGCAACTCCAAAGTGTGCCGATCGTTCCGAGCAGCCATGTTGGAAATGCAGCTTGCCATTGCCGAGCCCGAATTGGATATCGGCTACTTCAATATGGTGGCTCATCTAACGACCGGCGCTGGATTACCACAAGACGAGTCCTATTCGGAATTGGAGATGAATACGGACTCGGACTCGGAGGAAGTGCCACCTAAGGGTAAACGTATAGCCCCCATGTATCACATAGTCGGCGACAGTGACTCTGACGTGGAGAACAACGCTCCGAACTAAAATATTAAGCTAAAAATCCAAATTTTTCAATTATCCCATTTTTTTTATTTTGTTTTCCACATTAAATCGAAAGTTTATGTTTGTATCCAAGAAGAAAGTGTATGCTTGGACTCGGACGTGGAGAACAACTCTCCGAATTAAAATATTAAGCTAAAAGTCCAAATTTTTCAATTTTCCCATTTTTTTTATTTTGTTTTCCACATTAAATCGAAACAGCTAAAGTTTATGTTTGTATCCAAGAAGAAAGTTTATGCTTGTTGATGCTTATGCTTAAAATAAAAACAAACTTATGTATCTACCATTTAAGCCCGAGTTCCAGGAATCAGATGGGTCGCAGGAATCGTTACTGATTAGGGAGGCGTGGGCGTGCCTCTGGCCATAATGGCCGCTGCGTGATCTCCGCTTTTGATGCTGACCTCCACACATATACCGACCTGCGGCCCCGCTAATCGAAGCCCACTTTGGGGGCACGTATTCGCATTAAATGCTGCAGCATCAGCATGGCCCACTCAACCCCTGGACCCATGAAGCCTCCCCAGGGGCGTGTGCTTGCAGCCTGCGCCTGCTGGATAGTTTAGCTAAATGCCATCGTAAAAGAGCGTCGGCCGTAAAACAAACAAGCCCCAGCAAGGAGCATCACAGCACATTCCCACCCTACTTTCGGTGATGGCCTCTGGTTTAATTGGACAACGGAACAGCAGCCGGAGCGGGCAGCAGCAGGAGGGGGCCAGGACACCGCTTCGATTAACAAATTATCGCCACCGCAGTAAATGAATCGCTGCAGGTTCCGCATCTGTAAAGCATCCAGGTACTCGTATTTGGGTTAACAAGAGGGCCTGCAGCTCCGCTGGGGACGCTGCTGATCATGGTCCTGCCTGCAGATGACCGCAAATCAGATTCAGTGCGCCGGCAATGAGATTTGCAACCGCATCAATTTGTTTTAATGCCAAAAATGCTTTTGCATTACTCCAACAGATTGCGGCAGCTGCCGAATCGGAGTAGGAGGAGGAGGAGCTGCTGATCTGCGATCTGCAGATCTGCAGATCTGTGTTGGTGGCTCCAGCATCCTTGCCGACAGCTGTCGTTGTCCTGTGTTCCTCTGCGGTCAGCAGGGGCCAGATTGTTAAGGAGTCTAGTCAGATATGCATATGCATGTTGGCTGTGGACTGGCATCCCATATGATTCCTGGATCCCCCCTTGGATCCGCCCCCTGTCCAATGCAGTAAAATGTCAAATTAATGTTACAACATGTCCAACAACTTTTGATGGCATTTGACAATGTTGAGTGGAAATTCCTGCAGGTGACGCAATTTCCCTGTAATTTGTTTGGCCGCACGTACGTGGCATGGGCACGGGCATGGGGCATGGACTTCGACTGCGACTTCGATATCATGCAGCCAGCAGCGTCAGCGTCAATTGTGCCTGCCCAGCATTAACAAAAAACTGCGCCAAGGGACCTGCAACTGTTTCGAGTTCTAGATGAGTGTGTGTGCTGGCTGGTCTGGCCTGGCTGGCCTGTCTGCCGTGTTGTTGGCTAACTGGGGGCTTGCCCCGCTCGGTGTGGCAAGGTGTCAATGTGTGGGCATGTCGCACACGTGTGCTGCTTGCCTCTTGCCCTAGGGCCATAAATTTACTTAGTTTATTTGCTGCTACCACTGCTCCTGCCACAGAGCAGACAATGCAGGGGACGCGAGGCCCAGTTCAACGGAAATTTGTGAAGGAAATCAAATTAAAATTTTGCTAATTTATCAGTCGCTCCAAAATCGTGACCCCCCCAGTCCTGTGTCCACTGTCCGGCAGGGGGGGCGCTAATTGGCCAACACAAAGGAAACGGGCCCAAAAGGGAGCTGGACAGAGCTTGGTGCGAAATTTTTGCATTTTATCGAAACGACTTCATCACAGTTCGGCGGCTGAGTCCATGCTTCGAGGGCCGAAACAAAGGCATTCTAATTAAAATTCCCAAGTGTCAAAAATTTTATTTATTTCTTTGCCAAAAGTAAGTGCATCAATCAAATTTTTGCACAACCAGCAATTAATTTTTTGGTCATCCAGAGTCAGGGGTGGCTTGCCGGAGAATGGCGGCAGGCAGCTCTGTTAAAATCAAATTGCCGCATCGTTAACACCCCGGGGGAAAGTCGATTGGATTTTGTGAATTGGCATGGTATAGGAATTGGATTGGGTTTGGCCGCTTAATCGATGACTGATTGTTCAAATGAAAGTTACACCCAGCAGCACAGCAACGCAGAACCCACAGGGGAGATGTGTCAGAACTTGGCTTCAAAGTGGGGAGGTGGTTCAACTCTCTCGCCCTCCGCTACACAACAGTTTGCTGTCTCGGGTGTGCTCTCTATTAAAACGATTACGATAGGCCAATCCTCCCCTGGTTTGGGTATATTTGGCAGCCCTTTGTTGGGCCTTCGAGTGAGCACATGTTATTATTTGTTTTTGATGAAGTGGTTGATTACAATCGACCCTCCCCAGTCATTTTCAGCCACCCCTTGTCGATCCCGCTAGCAACAATGCCCAAAGTGGTAGGCAGAGCCATCAATTCTTAATGTTTATGGCCATGGCCATGCGCTGCGCTCTTGTGGGTCAGCAGGTGAAAATCTAGCTACACGACAAATGCGCTCCAAGTATGTCGAAGAAGACATCATCATTGAATTGAATATGCAAAGCATCAACGCGCAGTGATTTTTATTTGCCACAGTGGGTGGGCATTCTCATTGGGAACACGGCAACACTAATGGAAACTTGCGTAGCCATTTAATTGATTTGTGCCAAAAGTTTTATAGGTTTTTAAAGCCAGTCCGAAACACAGGGCTGAATAAATGGATTTGATTGTTGGCCAGCCAGGCAGGCCCACTCCCAGACAGAGACCCCCGACTGATGAGCGGGCCTAATTATGGAACGACCAAAATGGCAAATTAGCATAAAATTTAGCAACATTAAAAATTATACTTTATTATGCTCCAATCCCTCGTGTGTGTGCTCCTTTTTATTGTTGCTCTGTGACTAAATTGATTAATGAGCCAATTTAATAGTTTCGTCTGCTTACGGAGATATTTTTATGACACTTCAAAAATTATGACAAGCATTTCCAGCTATTTTTTTTCGCCCGTTAACCCGTCCGGCACATGTTGCACAATTTGTATTCAGCCTAACCATTTTGGGGGCCCACAGTGAAAGTGCTCGGAGCGGTTCGAGTAGCAGGCGTAGAGCTCTTAAAATTGGCTATAAACCTCGTTTTTAGGGCTGGGCGGATTAGACGGGTTATGGTACGGCGTTGAGGTGTTGGCGGCATAGTTCTTTCACGATCTTTGCTGTTGGGCAATTGTGTGGGTGGATCGGCACTTTTTGGCACTTTTAATGGGTCCATTAAAGGTAGCTCTTGATTTATCTGGCTGTTTTACCATTGAGATGCCTAGGAGAAGAGAGGAGACAGGAAGAAAACCAACAAAATACGAATTTAATGCTACCCATCAGCTGATTATGCGACAGTGTGACCATATTCTCGTGCCGCCTGACAGGCTTTTAGATTGCGTCAAAACATTGCGAGAAATGGAAATTAATATTTGTAACTAACGAATTCAGTCAGATTCGAGTTCTTATAGGACTGAAAACTCTCTTTCTAGTTGTAAAGTGTCAGCATGTCCGGCGATCAGGGCGATGTGTCCAGCTGCAAGCTGGAGAAACTCCAGCTGAATGAGGAGCTGGAGCAGAGCGACTTCTTTCAGACCTACTCTCGCCTGGAGACGCACATGGATCTGCTGAAGGACTCGGCGCGCACCACGGCCTATCAGGATGCCATTCAACACAACCGACAGCTCTTCGAGGGCAAGGTTGTGCTGGATGTGGGCTGCGGCATGGGGATTCTCTCGATCTTTGCGGCCAAGGCGGGGGCCAGCAAGGTGATTGGAGTGGAGAACGCGGACATTGCCGCACTGGCCAGCCAGATAGTGAAGGATAATGGAAAGGAGAACGTGGTGAATGTGGTCAAGGGGCTGATTGAGGAGGTGGAGCTGCCCGATGGCATTCAGCAGGTGGACATAATTGTGTCCGAGTGGATGGGGTGAGTAGCGCCAGCCAGGGAGCGCCCTTCCCACTCACATCTCTCTTCATTAGCAACGCTTTGTACATGGAGGGCATGCTGCATTCGGTGCTCTTCGCCCGCGACAAGTGGCTGCGCCCCGGTGGCCTGGTGCTGCCCAATGTGGCCAATCTGTGGATAGCTGGTGCCTGTGATCCGCATCGCTCTCTCAACAATGACTTCTGGAACAACGTCGAGGGCTTCGACATGAGCAGCGTCAAGAATCAGGTGGCCCATGAGGCTGTCGTGGACTGTGTGGCCAGCCAGAATTTGCTCACCAACGAGTATCTCGTGCACACGACTCGCCTGGAGAGTGCCCCCAATGCACCGATCAAGTTTCGCACGACCTTTGAGCTGGAGGCCCTGCGCACCGGTATAATCCACTCGATGATCCTGTACTTTGACGTGGGCTTCTTTGTGGGCCAGACGGAGAAGCCCGTGACGCTTTCCACCTCGCCCCAGTCGCCCTGGACGCACTGGGAGCAGACCGTCCTGCATCTGGACACTCCCATTTATGTCCAGGCTCACGAACGGATCAGCGGCGGGGTCGGCATGTTTCCCAGCGCGGGAAACAGTCGCTGCATGAACTTCGAGCTGGGCATCCGCTCCAAGGAAGCCCAGGGCCAGGCGTCGCATTTCAAGTACTTTACCTCATCGCAGAAGCTGTAGCTGTAGCTGCAGCTGGTGGGGATGGGATCGCATTTGTGTCGTAAGATGACGCAAATGCCATCAACAGATATTTGCCTTATTCGCGTCGTCGATCATTAAATGCGCTGAACAGAAATGATAACTGCCATAAAATGGGTCGTTAAACGCGGTTCGAGAAGTGTTTGCCCCGGGGATGGGGCAATCAATCGCGTCGAAGCTTAGAAAGTGGACAACCCGAAATGTTAACGACTTTCTTAACAAATTAATTTGAAAGCCCGAGCTTAGAGCTTAGTTCCAGCTCAGTCCGCATTTGAGTCATTCGGGAATGTGAAAATGGCCTGTCTGTGTCTCCTCTGCTGCTGCTGCTGCTGCTGCTGCTCTTCTCCCCTAATTAATTGATGGCCCGTCGTATAAATTTGTGAAAGCCAACGCCGTGGGCCCACAATGAATGCCTTTTATGCGTTTATAACTCTATTTACTATTTTAGTCATTTACATTGTCTCGTCTCATTTCGTTTCGTTTCGACACACAGAAATTCTGTGTCGATTTCGAGGGGTCGGGCCGGGGCGAAGGCTCCAGAAATCTCTTGTCAGCTCGTTTTGTGTTTGTGCATGGGCCGGGCCATTGTTAATGGCAGTTCTTAAAAAGCCATAAAACTGCTTTATACGTTCATGAAATTAATATGCACACCATTATTGGACATGATTATAAAATATTGGTTATCTAGCGCACACAAAAGCGCCACAAATGAGAGGCCAGGCAACATCCAACGGAATGGCCAACGAACGAACGGACACGGGGCAAGGGGCAGCGAAGATCTCTTTGATTTCTGGCCAACACTTGTTCCAGCGTTGCTCCCTGCGGCGCACATTAACAAAATTCTAAACAACAGCAATAGCAACAGCCAGCAACGCAGCAGCGTAGGCCCAACAAACATCTCAATTTGTATTGCTTCCCGCTTCACCCCATCCCTCTATGACCGATTCCTTGTTCTGCGCCGTCTTGTTGTCTGGGTATCGGATTGCTGGCATTTGTCAACGGAGCGGGACACTGCGCAACGAGCCATCTATAAATTAGAGACTCGTTAGACAGCTTAACCCCTGGGCTCCCATGGGGCTAGTCCTGCCCGGAGCCTGTTGATAAGGTGTGCGCTGCGATCCCACACTTTTCTCACAACAAATTAAGTTATGGGCTATGGCCACTTGCATGGCGATAAGCACGGACAGGGGCATCTTATTTAGCATTTTTGTAGTGGGTTTCTGGTTCACAATTCTGAGTGAACTAGTTCCATCACCGAGGTACTGACACGAAACTCCGTTATAGAACTTTTATCATCTCTTTTCTCCATTTGTCATTGCTAGAGTCAAAACTACATAACATAATTTTATTCCAATTTGTAAAAAAAAAAACTAATTAATTTCTTTTCCCGGGTACTCATTGTTCAGGCAGGGTCTACAGTTAAAAATGAAGTTTAATATTGTGCCGGTCGAGGAATTGAATCTGCTGGAGCTGTCCCAGATTGAAATGGGCTTTGAATGGATGCCGGAGGAGCAAATCGACGATGTCGTATCTGTTTCAAATGAGGATTATTTGGATGAGAATCTCAGCTATTTTGGTTCTGACGAGGATGTGACACCGGAGCAGTATCCCGATGGGCTCTCCGAGGACAATAATGTCAGCGAAACGCAGGAGCAGCAGGACGAGACCGGGGACTTGGTGATGGATCGAAGTACTGCAGATGCCTTGGGCAAGTTTATTCGCAGCAACTTGGATCTTTTCGTCAACAAGGTAAGATATGGACTGGTGACATTCCCGCCCTGCCATCCAAAATAACCCGACACGCCTCCCCACCACCTAGATTGTCTTGGACGTGGGCTGCTACTGTGGTGTCCTCAGCCAGCATTGCATCCAGGCTGGGGCGGCGCTGGTCCTTGCCACGGGCAACGGGAATGCCGCAAAATATGTAATGGCGAACGCCATCGCGCATGGCATGGGCGAAGTGTTTGTGCCGATCAGGGGCTCGATTGCCGAGATCGAGTTGCCTTTCGGCATTGAAAATGTGGACGTCATTGTCTCAGAGTGGATGGGGTGGGTGCAGAGTAGCTTAGCCGATTGGATATCGAGTCTCTGACGCTCTGATTATTCCTTCACAGACATTCGGTCTTCGTGGGCTCGCGGTTCAAGGATGTTCTCTATGCCCGAGACAAGTGGCTGGTAGAGGGCGGCCTAATCTTTCCGAATGTGGGAAAGTTGTACATCACAGGCCTCTTTGACAATCCCATAAAGTACACGGAAACCTATCTGGCCGACACGATCGAAGACAGCCGGGACTATCCCACCCACACGTCTGGCTCCGATTCAGAGGAAGGAGGAGAATACATTGTGCGGAAGCCAAGTATGTTGGAAGCTCATGTCTGCCCGGTGGATGTGATTACCCAAAAGTATCTCCTGCAAACCATCGATCTCTACACGGCTGTGGATGCTGCGGAAAGCTTTACAAGAGACTTCAAACTGCGCATTCTCAAGGATGGCTTAGTGCTAGCTGTGGCTCTGCACTGTGAGATTTGCGTGGCCCTGCCCAACCGCAAGCTAAGGCGACTGTTCTCCACTGGGCCCAGGCATCCCGAGACCTATCTGAATCAGACTGTTTTGCTGCTGGAGACACCGAATACTGTGGCAAAGGATATGCTGTTGAAGGGTGTTTTCGGCTTGTACCGCAATCAACGCCGACATGGCGAAGTAGAGTACTCCCTGCGCTTGAAGGGGGGTCACTTTGATCCATATTTTGAGCCCCAGAAAGATCCACGCGCAGCAGAGGACGATTTTTTTACGGCAAATGATTCCTTGGCATTACTGTTCGGCGAGGGCGAGGAGCCAATGGCAGAACTAAATTCAGAAGTAGACACCGACTCTGGGACAGATTCAGGGACAGGGACAGGGCCATACCTTTATTACAGTTTTGCTTAACAAATAAAAAGGGGATGCGAATGCAATGTCGATGTTCATGCTGATGTTGCTTGATGTATTCATGGCAACGTTTTGGGGCAGTTCGTCTGAAAGGCCAACACGTCGATCGCTGTTGCTGTTGTTCTTGTTGTTGTTGCTGCAGCTGCGATGGGGATGTGTATATGTGGTTGGACTGTGGGGACTGAGCGATCGTTGGACGATCAAAATTTATGGCCGTGCTGCATCAATTAGGGCGGCGGCGATCCGACGACTGCTAACCGTTGCTACTCAAAAGACAATGGGCCCAAACACAGTCCAGAGTGTGGATCTCTTTTTGTTCGATTTTGCTGTTCCTGCTGCTGCTGTTGCTTTGGCTGAACTGATCGGTGTTTAGCTTTGACGTTGCTACAACGATTTAAAATGATGTCGCGCATAATTCACCGATCGAGGATCGAGGATCGAGGCTCGGGATCGACGATCAGAGACCATGTTCTGGCAGACTGTGCGTCGTGATTTGGGGCTCTGGGGTCGGCTCTGCCCTCGTTTACAGTAAGAGTTCTTTTGTTTCTGATCTCATAACTGATCGCTGATCGCACTTGGTTAGCTATAAGGAGACCGATCCTCGCTTCTCGATTCTCGACCCTCGGCTAATGTCATTCGCTTTCCCTCTCCCCTCCATCTTCTCTCGATCACATGCTTAAGTGACATTTCGTCTGCTGAATCTGTATCTGAAGCTGTAGCTGTAGCTGTAGATGGATGTGGATATGGGTCGGAGTCCGAGTCTGGGTCCCGTGATGGATTAGCATCGTTTTGCCGTGAGGATAATGTGTCGTCTGCAATGATTTTCGTTGACATGTGTTTTTTTTTGTTTTGTTTCTTCTTCGGCCTGGAACCAGAGGTTTGGCTTTCATTTCATGTCAGGCCCTGGCCAGGGTCCGGTTCTCGGAAATAATTATGCTACTTTTGTGCAAAAATAACAGCATTTTTGTACAAATTGCATAAAAATTTAAATTGCTTCGGCAGCAAAGATGAACGGAACGGATTTTCGGTGTTTTTGTGTGTGTGTTGTTCGTCCTGCTGGAAAGCGCAGAAAATTGCTTAATAATGAAATGCCAATGGATTAAGCGCAATTTGTGCGGCATTCGGCTGTGGCCTGGACCCACTGATTGTCCCCCTTGGATCTTTATCTTTATCGTGTTTTTGCTGCTCTCCGATCCACCACAATCATCATCAACATTATCATCATCGTTATTATAATGATCATCATCATGGAGGAACGAACAACTTCAACACGTTCGATTTTGTCTGATTCTGCATTTTATTTTACACCTAACGAGGCCGTGATGGAGGCAGGGAGGGAGGGAGCACCCTATGGAGGAATGTATAGCTGGCTCTCTCCGGTCGTCCCTTTCGCACGCTGGGGCCTCGCAGCGTTTTCATTAAATTCGCTTAATAGCGCAATATAATTTAAACAAGTAGTAACATAAAATAAAACTCACAGCCACGCACTGAAAGGCATAAAGAAAGAAGCAAATTACTCCAGAGAACCAGAGAACCGAACCGAACGGAGCAGAACAGAACGATACCATACCAGACCAGACATCGGCAAACGCATTCGAATTCGAACTCCTGGACATGCAGTGCGGCAGGGAGGGAGAGAAAGGCAGGAGGAGTACCCTCAGTGGTCTCAGTGGTCTCAGTCTCAGTTCCCGATCCCTGAGCCCAGTTATGGCGCATGGGCGAGACCGCTCCACTGCCCAGTGCAATAAGTTCGCTTAACGAGGGTTTAATTTATGATTTGTTATGTTTCCGGTTCATGTTCTTGTTGCCAGCAAAATTATTGGCCATAAAGCTAAGGTGTGGATTATAGTTGCTGGCAGTAGTACGGAGTGGCAGCAGCAGCCAGGCCAAGTCATTCGGAAAGCGAAGGGAGAGAAGCTGATGAGGTCACCCCTAAGGTATGGCACATGGCATATGCTACATGGTAGGGTCACCAAGCGGTTGCTGTGGGTCACCAGCAAAAGCATCTTCGCATTGTCTGCTTAGGCACTCATTTGAAGAGGTCACCAGTTGTCTGTTTGTCCCTGGCCCAAACTGCATATAGCTGCACTTGTTTCCCTGTCATATGCCTCTGTGCAGCAACTGCTTTGGACAGTTTTGTCTGTGCCCACTAATAGTCCTTAATCCTTTCACGCTCACTGTGCATTTTCAGGCGCGCTGCATCGTTGCGTTGAAAATCGATTTGTATTTTTATTTCCTACCATTTTTTTTTTGTGGCTCTTGCGTTGGGCTGCGCCTGCGCAAACAACTCGTCCCATGGATAACAACGGATAAGGGAATAAGCAAAGACAAGCCAAGACACACTGTGGCCAGGAGGTGGACTAGCCCCGCGAAACGGCGAAACGTGCCCAGTAGGAAGGCGCAGGGGAGCTGCAGAGCTGCTCGGTCCAAGCAACGCCAACGAGTATCTGGTGGAACATAAATTACGCGACTAACAAGCAGCGCCCCGTGCAGCTCAAGCTAAAAAAAAAAACACTTGCGGAGGGGTCGAGGAGGACGACAAAAAAAAAAGAAACACTTCATACTTGGGAACAGACCTGGGGGACGACTAACGTATTGGGCCAGAGACAGAGCCAGGGAATGGGCATGGGCATGGGCATGGGTCTTACCAAAGTGAGTTGCACAAAATTATAAATGAAAGCGGGTGTTGGATGCTGTTCTTCGTTCATCCCATTCTCAATCCCATTCGCATTCCCAATCCCCATCCATATCCAGGGACCACATCCACGTCCACGATTAGGTGCAGCAATTTGGTTGGGGCTGTCTGTGATTGAGACCGAGGCAGTGCTCGAAACGAAGTTAAAAATCAAATTAGCGAATGTGTTGAAAATTAAAAACAAATTCACGGATAAATTGCATCTGCCAGATACGCAATTATTATGAGGGCAGGCCCTGGGTTGGCAAAGGAGAGGATCGCGTGGAGAGGATAAGACGTGGCCTAACTTATGGACTCAGACAGCCCCCTCTGTGGGTTCTGTGGACTCTGTGGACTCGGAGGGACTCTGCTTGCTTCTGCTGCATACTGGACTCTGGGTTCTCGATTCTCGCTTCTCGATTCTGGTACGGTGTCAGTGGCTATGGCTCTGGCTGTGTGCTTGTATCTGTATTTGTGTGTGTGTGTGTGTGTGTGTGTCCCTCGAGGTGTTGCAATTTGACGTTTTTTACGCGAGTTTTTATTCCATGAAATCCGCATGAATTTCATGAGGATGCAGCAGCCACAGACGCAGCTTCAGCATCAGCATCGCACGCAGTGCAAATACTTGGCCCTAAATGGCTCCCTCTCTCTCTCTCTCTCTCTCTTGACTTTTTTTTGTCTGTGCTGCTGTTGCTGGCCACGGCGAAAAACACGTCGAATTAACACGCTCTAAGGGGCAGCTGGATGAGTGCTTGTGGTTGGGATGTGGCAATGTGTATGGGGCAAGGGGCATCGGGATTGCGACTGTGCCTCATCAGCCAGGCTTTTTTGTACATTTAAATGTTGGCAAATTAGCTGAAATTTCTTCTCGCAATTTGCATGTGTGTGTGCGTGTGTGTGTGTGTGAGATATATAATTATACTCGTAGTCGAATTTTTTGGCGAGGGTAAAGCTCCTGGCAGCCCAAAAGCCGCTCAGCTGGCGCCGTGTCTGCGGCGACTCTGGCAAATAAATCGCGCTGCTGTTGAACTTTTTATCTGCCTGCAGGGACACGACGACGACGACGATGAGAGCCGGGGAGGACAGCGACAGGGGGGCAGGGACAGAGCCCTGGACGGCGCAATGGCACTGCTGCTGCTGCTGCCACAGAGATGGAAGTCGGCCACGCCCCTTGTTGTCCTGTGTGCTCTGGCAGCTCTGGGGCCTTGGCAAGTTCTCAAAGCAACTTGGAGTCGGAGTTGGAGTCGAGTTCGGAGCCGTAAAAAAAAGGGCGCAAATTTTATGAGCGCATCGTTTAACAAATGAATTTACAACCGTGCAACGCCCAAATGTCTGGCGTTCAAATTCAAATTCCTCTGCAACGAAACGAAACGAAACAAAAATCTTGGCCCAGCTCCCAGAACCGCAACCACAAGCAGAACCAAAACCAGAACCACAGCCAGAACGAGAGTCCGTGTGCGAGTCCGAGTCGAAGCCAGAACCTGAGCGGCTGACTTACGTGGCACACGGAGGCGTATGCTTCATATGCACACCCAGACAAACAAAACAAACCCATAGAGGAGCATGATTTGTGTCTGGCATTTGGCCAAGTGATTTAAAACAAATACGAGAAGGCAGGCAGGGACACAACCAGGCCGAGACGGACTATCATCATCATCATCATCAGCATCAGCATCATTGGTGGAGTGGAGCATTACCACCACGTTGCGGAATGGCAATGGCGATGGGTGATGGTGATGCTGATGCTGATGCTGATGATCGTCGTCTGCGGCCTGGCCTGGCCAGGAGTTACATTAACGCTTTCATTAGCCCAGTTTTCGCCTCGTCGGCCGCCCTTTTTATCGAGGCTGCCTCCACTTTGTCGCTCATAAATCGAGATCATTCATTGCCAATTGCCACTCGCGCGTCGCTCCACTCGTTAAGTGCAGTTTAATGAGCTGCCTGGACCCGAGCGACTCTCCAGTTGCACCTTGTCCTCCGCCGGCGTGCTGGCCGAGGGGCCTGGTCAGCGTTTACAATTTGGTAATTGTCCCTGGCCTGTCAATAAGTTTTTATGGCCTCTACCCTGCCCCATAAAGGGAAAGCTTCTCGGCCCCCAGTCGCAGTATCAGTTTCGGTTCGAGTTCGAGTCTCAGTTTAAGTTTCAGTTTCAGCTACTCGGCAATTACCGACACGATCACAAATTGCCAGAAGAGACGGGGCTGGTAATTTGTGAACTTAATGTCGGGTATGCAAATACATGGAAGGGAAGGGAAGGCATTCAATCGATCGACTCTTCGATCATGTCAAGGATATGCACTTCCTGCGCTGCTCATTCCCCTGCCGCTTCCCTCCTTGATGGCAAATCAATT